CCCATGCTACATCTCAGCCATGGCATAGCCAAATTAATAAATAGATAAACGCACGATTAATTAATTTTGCTAATGAGCGCTGAGGCATTGCCTCCACTGTCTTCCCCCACTCACCATGTAATTTTTTTTATGTTGTTTAATCACTAAGTCATATCTGACTCTGTGACCCCATGAACTGTAATCCACCAGTTTCCTCCATCCATGGGATATCCCAAGTAAAGGTACTGGAGTGGGTTGCCATTTCCTTCTTCAGGAGATCTTCCTGACCCAGGGATCGAACTTGTGTGTCCTGATTGGCAGGCAGATTCTTACTGCTGAGCCACCAGGGAAGCCAATTTTTTTATACTCTTGGGTGAAAAAGCGATGTAAAATATTTCTTTGGATTGCTCTGACCTGGAGACTTCACAGGGACACAGAGTCCATCCTTTCAACAAGATCAGGGTGTGAAAGGTCCTGCGATTGCAAGTAAAGTCTTTCTTGGCCGCTTGACACAGCCTCCCTGTGGCTGTCAGCGTGTCATTAACCCGAGGGGTGCAGCACGTCAGTCAGGTAGACTGTCCCCCGCTTGTGCCCATGCAGCTCTGAAATGGCTGGGCTATGAAGCCTGGTGTTTTGCTTCTCTTGCTCTCCCTTGTGATCTGGGCACCTTTTGCTCACTGGTGACAAGGGGTGAGATTGGTGTCATGGATCCAAATAAGTGAATTTCAGGTTATTGTTTCCTGCCTCAAAGATGCGGGTCTGAGCGCCTTTTAGCACATGCACCAGAGGAGGCAAGCAGATGGAGATGTGCGATGGCTCAGATTTGAGACTGTGTGTGTCTTGACCTCAGATTCAGGCATAGGGAATCGCCCTTCAGCTCAGTTCAGTCGCTCAGTGCGGTGTCCGACTCTTTCAACCCCGTGAGCCGCAGCACGCCAGGCCTCCCTGTCCATCACCAGCTCCGGGAGTCCACCCAGACCCGTGTCCACTGCGCTGGTGATGCCGTCCAACCGTCTCATCCTCTGTCAGCCCTCCTCCTCCCGCCTTCGATCTTTCTCAGCATCAGGGTCTTTTCAAATGAGTCAGCTCTGTGCACCAGGTGGCCAGCGTACTGGGGTTTCAGTGAACGCCCGGGACTGATACCATGGGAAATGAGTGTCTTTTGGGTTGTAGAGGTTGGCATAAACGGTGGGCAAGTGTGTTCTTAGGCCAGCACTTAGACAAATGGAGCGGTAGGTCTGTGGCTAACTTCTTTCTTTTTTAAGTATTTACTCATTTACTTGACTGTGCGGTAGCGGCCCATGGGATCTAGTTCCCTGACCAGGATTGAGCCCAGGCCCCCTGCCTTGGGAGCATGGAGTCTTAGCCAGTGGGCCAGCAGGGAAGTCCCTAGCTAATTTCTTTAAGTTCTGGTTGTTGTTGAAACTAGTTAACTCATGTGTTGCTGTTGGGAGCAGAGCTCAGAGAGAGTTTTTCCAGTCATGATGGCTGTGCTATATTTGCTAGTTCACACAAATCAGAGAGAAAGCTCCAGACTTCCCGCTGAAGTGGATTTTGGAAAGGATCACTCATTGACATTTGTTTTCCCACTGACTGTGGTTAACATTAGACTCCTAATGGCGCTTACTGTTCACTCCCCATTTTATCTTAATAAGGGATGACTGAGTTTCTGATGGGTTAAAGGCACAGCCTGATGTCTGATAGCTTATAAATAGCTAGAGCTGGGTCAACACAGATGTGTCAGACTCCTCTGAGTTTCCCGCTGTGCTGTGATGGCTTACCTTGAGAGCGAGTTTATGTAAATAGTCTGGCCTCCATGAAGACTAGATCCGTGGCAGAGGTTTGAATGGACTACCCGTGCTCACCTCTTTCACGTGGCAGTCCCAATAAGATAACGGCACTCTGATTGTTCCTACATACAAACAGTATCTTGGAAACGCTAATCTGTGATCATCTGACGTGGCTTTGGCTGAATTACCTTGCTGCCTTCTCCAGTAGAATCGATTTCTTTGTCGCGGCATAGTCTGTGTGATTTCCCACACAGTTTACAAGGCGTGGTATTTTCCACCTTAGAGTAGTGGGGTGATGGTCACGCTCTGAAATTAGAGTCCTCTCCTCCCTCCCCCTCCCTCCTTTCTCTTTTCATGTCAGCCGTGTATGAGAGCTCTAGGTGCTCCACATCCTTGCCGACACTTGGTGGGGTCATTATTTTTTTTTTTAATTTCTAAAAGTTTTAGCCATTGTAGCAGTAGATATGTGTTATCATCTTATTGTATCTTTAGTTTGCATTTCCCTAATGACCAATGAGTTCAAGCCTCATAAAATAGTTGAGTTTTTCTCTATTATGTGGAAGAGCTTATGTGAGATTGGCATTTTTATTTTCGTAAATGTTTGGTAGACTTTATTGTTCAAGGCAAATGGATCCAGAGTTTTCAAAAGAATTTTCTTTTAAAAAATCCAGGTTTTTTCGGTTGTTCTCTTTCTCCTTGCAGCAGTTTTTAAGTGGTGTCTTTCTGGGAATTTGTCTTTTTCACCGATGTCTTAAATCTGTTGGTGTGAGGTTGTTAATATACTTTCTAAGGTCACTTTAGGGTTTGTAGACTCTGACTGGCGTCCTTTTATTCGCACGTGATGTCTGCCATCTGTGTGCTCCCTTGCTCACTCACGTGTCTGCCCTAGTGTGTTGCTTCCTCTGTCGTCTCTCTCTCTGGCCCTTTGTCAATTTTATTTGTTTTTTCCCCAAGGCACTGACTTTCGGATTCTTTGTTCCTCGTGTTTTATGTTTGTTTTATTTTTATTACCTTCCTTCTACTTTCTTTAGGTAATCAGTTGCTTTAAAATTTCCTCTAATTTAATGGATGCTTAATAGAACTCATATTTTCCTCCAATATGTATTTATGGTTATAGATTGTCCTTTTTCCATGGCTTTAGCTATGTTCTGTAAGTTTTGATATGTATGAGTTTTATAATCATTTAGTTTATTTTCTGATTTTCATTGTGAATTTTTGAGTCATAATTTTTTGTTTAGCAATGTGTTGCTTAGTTTCCAGATGGGAACTTTCTAGGATCTTTTATTGATTTCTAATTTTATTCTACTATTATCAAAGGGCATCTTTTACAGTTTTAATGTTTGTTTGGAATTTGAGACTGTTGCCCTGCACATGTTCAGTTTGGGTAAATATCCGTGAAGTACTTGAGTGTACGTTTTGATGTTGTGTTCAGTGTTTAATATTATCACTGTTTATCAGTGATTTAATATTTTCCGGTTTATCAGTTAAAGTCAGAAATCTTCTATTAGTTCCTGTTTATCGACTTATTTTTATGTTACTGATACGTTAAAATCTTTCACTCTGATTATGAATTTGTGTATTTCTCCTCTTAATTCTGTCAACTTTTGACATGTGTGTATGTATATAAATTTAGAATTGTCACATATTCCTCATGGATTAGAACTTAAAATTATGAAATATTCAGGTTTTTCTCTTATACTTCTTTTGGTTTATCTTTACATGATATGTCTTTTTCCATTCTTTTAATATTTTATCCTTATATTTAAGGATATAAAACAAAACATACACACTTTTGTAAGGAGTCTATTGTGTGTGTATATATATGTTTTATTCAGTCTGACAGTCTTTGTGTTATTGCAGTTTTTTTAGTTCACTTTACTGGGATTACAGATATATTTGGGGTTAAATATATTACTTTATTATTGGCTTTCTGTGTAACTTTTTTATATTCCATTTTTCTCCTCTTTCTTGTTTCTTTTTAAAAATTATTCTACTTCCCCTTCCCTTAACTGGTTAAACTTGTATTATTTTACTGTTATTTCAGTGGTAATTGTAGAGATAACATCCTGTGTTTTTGACTTACTAAGGTTCTCATATAAATTAGCACTTTCTGGGAAGTGCAGGGGTCTTAGAATACTTGAATCTCAAGTACTTATCTCCTGGGTTCTATGTCATTATTGTCAATATAGTAATGTTCACTAGGTATGGTAAATTTACAAACTATTACTATTATCATTTAGAGTTTTTCATCTTTTTACCCTTTATATTGCTCTGTCATTTTCTGCAACTCCAGATTTCTATCTGAAGAGTATCCTTTAGTATTTCCTGTATTGTAGACATGCTGAGGATATATTCTCTCAGCTTTTGTTTGCTTAAAAATCTTGTTTCTCCTTATTTTTGAAGGGTATTCTCACTGGGTATAGAAACACCAAATGCTGGCTCTCCTCTCTTGGCCTTTCAACTTCTCCAGATGTTAGCCCCCCAGATTCTCAATCATACCGTTCCTCTGATGCCCTCAAAGAGGGGTGTGTGTGTGTGTGTGTGAGTGTGTGTGTGTTGTTTTGTCCAGCTTTCTAGTTGTGCTCAGCGAGAGTGTGGGTCTAGGAAACCAAGTTGCCATTGCTGGAAGCAGAAGCGCTGGCAACATTTAAAACAGTCCAAGCACACTGCGAGGAACCTAGCAGCAGACGTCTGTTGCACTTTCCAGGTTTGTTCTCGTCAGGCCGTGGCCTCTTTGAGGACGGTGGCCATGCCTCCGTCTTCGTGTGTCGTCGCCCTTTGTACTGAGCACAGGGTCTGGTTGTTACCAAGGAGTGGCTCAAAGGCTGGCCGTGCCACAAGCTCTTCTGTGGTGCGGCCTTCACCTTTGAAATTTCTGTGTTCCTGGCACAGGTTTTCTCAGCCTCAACGCTGTAGATGTTTGATCCAAATGATTCTTTGCTGTGGGGCTGTCCTGGGCCATATCGGATATCTGTAGCATGCCTGGCCTTTACAGGCTAGATACCTGTAGCACACCCCCTTTCCGCACCCCCCCCCCCCCACAGTAAAGTCAGTCATTTTCTGACTAATGAAAATATCTCAAGATAGTTGCAGATTTCTTCTGGGGGCAAATCCCGTCTGATTGAGATCCACTAGAGTAATGCATAAGGTGCTCGGCAAAGGCCATTTAGCATCATGATTTGGTGCTTTTGCATTTGTGTTTCCTAATGTGGACTTTCCTTTAAACCACAGGGTTTGAAACTGCCAAATCTTTCGCCCTTCATGGTGCACACGTGATCCTGGCCTGCAGGAACATGACGAGAGCCAATGAAGCCGTGTCCCGCATTTTAGGAGAATGGGTAAGCGAGCGCTTACATTTTTCTTTTTAATTGTCAAATACACATGCCGGGATAAACACTTGAAGGTTTTAGTACAGTTCATAAAGTTTATTGCTCTTGGAATAATGTTTTCTTTGTTTTTAAAGTCATATTCTCTTTGTTTATTTTATGAATGAAAGGACAGGCAAGCCGTTTATAGTTTGTTTATGGTTCTCTGTCAATGTCATCTGCTTTATTAGTCAGAGGTTCCAGAATGTTTACTCATTTAGCTCATTTATTAGGAAAAACAGAATGTGGTTGACGCCCTTGAGTGTGACTAAGAGGTTATGTGCGGTTTTCAGAATGATAAAGGGGCAGACTTTAACCCTGTCTCAGTTTTTCCTCTTTGCTTTTCTCTGTGCAGATGTGGGTGTTGATATGCCTGTGTGCACAAACATGTATTGAGGGCAGTTGGTGCTCTTGGGGTTAAGGATATAGCATCAAATAAAACAGAATACCTGCCCTCATGAGCTTCTAGGTAGGAGAAACCAACCATAAAGGGATAATTAAAGTTTAACATGATGTCAGGTTCTGATAAATGCAGTGCAGGCCAGTGAAGCAGAGTGAGGGATCAGGAGTGGACAGCGTGGACTCTTTCAGCTTGGGTGGTCAGCAGAGACCCCTCTAAAGCTGTGACGTTTGACCCAGGCCCTGATGAAATAGTGAAGTAAGCCATGCAAGTGTCAGGGGAAATACTTGGCGGTGGACATGTGCCTGGAGGATTCCAGGCTTGGTGGGCACGCTCGTGTGCCTGGAGGCCCGGGGAGGGGGTTGCCGAGGGGCTTAGTCACTGTGGCATGAGAGGCTTTGAGTCAGAGTGACACAACTGAGTGGGTTTTTTGTTTTTCTTTTTAACATGATCACCGGGCTTTGAAGTGACGTACAGACCTCATTCATTCCCATGCCTGTGAAGTGCCCCAGTGTCATAGGTACTGGGTGTCTAGCGTTAAGGAAAAACAGGTGTTGCCACTGTCTCTGTAGAGCTTTCAGCTGAGGGTGGAAGACAGATCAAGCCAAAGATCGAGAAACACCAGTGTAAACTTGAAGTGAAGCGAAGTGGTATTCCAAAACAGTGAAGGATGCCAGAGAGGCAGGGGGCCTCTGGAGTCCCCGAGAAAGAGGTGGCTGAGCTCAGATCTCAGGAGGGATCGGGGGGAAAGGGGAGAAGGGTCAAACTGGGCTGAGGGAGTGATCTGTGCGGTAGCTCTGGGGTTGGGGAGACAGGTGGCCGGAGCCGGGCCTGGAGGGGGCTGGATAGTCCTTGGCAAGATTGTCTTCATCCTTTGAACACCGTGGAAGATTTCTTGCCATCTGAAGAAATAGACCATGGTCTGTTTAAGAGAACGTCGGGCCTTCTGGCCTGAGAAGTTATGGAAGTCAAGAAAAGGGAGATTTATTTCTGCTTTTTCAAGCAGGATTTCAAACTTAGTATATTTCAAATGAACCCTTGTCCTGATCTCACTGGATTCATTATTTTGAGTTAAATTAAAAAACAGGGCCCATTTTTTTTCCAGTTATCTTAGCATCTTTCTAACTCCAGAGTTAGAAAAATGTATTAACCTCTACTAGGTGGTATAGAGTAATCTTTAGAGATGTATAGAGAATGAATGGTCATATGTGCATATGGTTTGAATCTTCATAAAGTGTATACGATGAAAAGTGAAAGTCCCTTGCGTTCTTCTCTTGGGGGTAAATATTATTAACTATTTCCTGTATGTTCTTCCAGAAAAGGTTGTGTATACTAGCCAAAACACATGCTGTGTTTTACTTTGAATTTTTTTCCCACTTAATACTAGGAAGTCTTTTATTCTCAGTGCATAGATCTACCTTGTTGCTTGTAACTGTTGTGTGACACTCCATCATGTGTTGAGGAAGTCATTTATTTGTGTGGTCTTCCAAGTGATGCTCTCGTGAAGTTCAGTCTCTCACATTTTCATCCAAAGTTGGCTCTCAACTCTGCCACAGTGACCATTCTTCTTTTTTTAGATATATTTATTTTTAGTTGAAGGATAATTGCTTTACAGTGTTGTGTTGGTTTCTGCCGTACATCAGCATGAATCAGCCCTGGGTATACACATGTCCTGTCCCACCCGCCTCCCACCCCATCCCACCCCTCCTAGCTTGGTCTCAGAGCCCTGGTTTGAGCTCCCTGAGTCATACGGCAAATTCCCACTGGCTGTCTATTTCACATGTGGTAGTGTTTCCCTGCTATTCTCTCCATAGTCCATTGTATTTTAAGCACCACGTCTTCTTCATCCAGTCCTCTGCTGATGGACATTCAAGTTTCTTCCATGTCTTGGCTGTTGTAAATAGTGCTGCAGTGAACACTAGGGTGCATGTAGCTTGTTGAGTTATTGTTTTCTCTGGATATATGCCCTGAAGTGGGATTGCTGGGCTTAAGTATTCAGTTGAATGTTAGTTAGCTGCTGCTGCTAGTAGTAATAATAAAATAATTTCTTATTCATACATGAAAGTACAAAGGAATGTTTACTTTTCTTAACCTCTCCAAGTGGCTGAAAGGAGCTGTAGGGAGTGTGTTTATCAGCCTGACTCCAGTGGAGTTGCAATGAATTTTTTCTGTCTTCATATGTCTGGACTCCTACGTTTTAATAGATGTGTATTTAGTTTGTTGATGAGTATTTTCCAGTGGAGCTTATATTAGCACTCAACTGTCATTTGAAAAGCCATCTTAATTATTGATGTGATTGCTTTTTCTATTGTATTTACAGAGAAACACACTTTGCATATATTTAGGGAATATTGTTAAGGGATCAGTCATCAGGAACAGCATGCAGTGGTTTATATCAGAACAGTTATTGAGAAAGCCGGGAGATGATGGCTCAGAGAAAAGATTTATTAGTCGGAGCTAATGGAATGTGCACGTGTCGGGGAGAGCGTGTGTGCTCGGCTGGGTGTCGCCACGCAGTTTGATGCTGGGGGGACTGAAGTATCATAATTATTCTAGTTTTCAATAGAGTTGATACTCAGTCTGTTTATTTAGTTGGAGTGAAGTTGTGTGGAAAGCTGACAGTATTATGTCATACTGCAGCCTCATTGATAAGCATCGGAAAATAGAGATTTCACTGTCGTTGTCAGATGTGGAGCGCTTGGTGCCAGCCTACGTGTTAGACAGCTTGCTGTGCTTCCGTGGGCGCTGACGACCTGCTCTCATGCCGCGGCAGTAAGGAGTGAGGCGGGGAGGACCCCACGTAGAACAGCGTTCGCACTTCTGAGAGCCCTGGAGAGGTCTAGCTGCTCATAGACTCTCTGACCCGCTCGGTGACTTCGTGGCCTGTGTGCTTCAGTGTCTGTGGGCATCTCCCCACTCTCCCATGGTGGAAGAAGCTTAGATCCGATACTGTGCCTTTGCAGGCCAGAGGCCTTCTGTCATGAGATGTGCGTACGTGGAGGGGAGACGTCTGGGGTGGCTAATGTACAAGCTTGATGTCTGTCTAGTCAGGCAACTTGGCTTGGAGAAAGTGATCATTACTCAGTGCATTGCAGAGTGTAAGGCTCTTCCCCGTTGTTGTGAGTGATCTCTACCTAAACAGAAATATAAAAACTCTTAATCTTTTTAATAGTTACAGACTGTTGGGAAGAGTTCCTCCGACATCAGCTGCTAGATTTGTTCCTCATTTCTTTACTTTAAAAATTGTTTTTATGTATAGTATTGGATTTTCAGTAGATTAAGTATGGTGTAAACAAGTGTGCACGCCAGCAGGAACTGTATAAGCACTCGCTTTAATCACCATGTGCCTTGTCGCTCTTTAGCAGACACACACACGCACAGGCAGAAGGGTTCTACCTCGGACCTTTCTGTTTACAGATGTCATCTCCTGTCATCAGCTGCAGGTGGGACTGGGTATTCATGGCTGCCTCTGTCCTCGGCGCCCTGCCCGTTGGCACTCAGCAGCGAGGTATCTGTGTATGTGTGGAGCCCATCTTGCAGATGGGGCTGCGGAGGCTGGGAGAAGGGGGGACTTTGCTCAGGCTCACACAGCTGGGGGCTGCATGGTAGACCCGAGTGAGAAGCCGTGTCTCCCGACCCCAAGGCCCTTCTCATTGCCCAGTCCAGAATGACTGGTGCGTGCTGTGGCGGAGGACAGGCCTGTTTCACGGGCTTGGTTTCTCTGTCCATGACGTCGGGGTCCCTGTGGTTCTCCAGCAAAGAGAGCTGCACTGGTGGCGTTCTGAAACCCAGTTGCTGAGCCTCCCTCCCCAAGGAAGCTCTTCCTAGACTTCCATTTCAAGTGGTACACAGTGTATTTACTCTTGAACTTCAGCTGCCTCTTTGCCCTTCCCTGTCACAGGCTCAGGAAAGGTTCTTTATCAGATAATAAATTATTCATCCCTCTCATAGACATAATCGGTTGCTAAAATATTCTGAGTTTCTTCTGTCTCCAGAATGCCTAAAATTTGTGATTGGTTCTTCTCCTCTAAGTTTTTCCATTTCATTTCTCATTCTGAAATTTTTGCATTGACTTATTAATCTTGCCTGTTATTCATTGTCTTTGATCACAATCTCCTTGTCTTCGTTTGCATATGTTGGTTTTTTCACCCAGTCTTGAACTGAATATTTCAAACTTTGCATCCATTGTAACCTTTGCATAACGAGGGCTATGATTTACTGCTGAGGTTTAAAGAGTGCAAAGTCAAGCATAGGCGGAGAGCTCCAAACCACCACTCCCAGCCACGGGAGACTCAGTGCAGATGCAGTCTTTCATCAGTACGGGGCCCCTGAGTTCTTGTTAAACAATTTCGACATAGTGGGGAGAGATGGATTTCATTTTCAGATGATGTTCAGCCAGTGGTCGACAAGTCTTGCTTCTGGCCACTAGAGCGTTTAGGCGCCATCATTTAAGAGGAAAAAAGTACGTGTGAGACTGAGTTTCGTGTTTTTTTATGGGGTGTCTACAGAGAGTCTCACACATAGCCGTTGTTAGATGAAACAGAGAGGAGACACAGCCCTTGAGCCAAAAACA